TGTCCAGGAGGTGGGAGGGTCTGGGAGGGAGGGTCTGCTGCTGATTGGCTGGAATGTGTCTGCTGACTGTGAGGTACAGGGTCAAAGTTTACTCAATGATGACGAATAGGGGGCGGATCGAACAGCGCATATGTTCGCCATCTGTGGCGAACGCGAACAAGCGATGTTCGCCAGGAACTATTCGCCAGCGAACCGTTCGGGACATCACTGTTGATGGATGCAAGTCTCTTTTCAGCTATGTAACTATGTAACTATGTAACTTAAAATGAAGAAAATTAATTTTAAACCACATAAGCAAACTGTAGATCAGAATAATCAAATGAAAATATGGCATCATATAAGAAAGTTTTAAAACTCTAATAGAATTCTATAAGGCACTTAAGGATTGCATTAACCATGAAAGGGCAGTGAGTATCTTTCCACTCCAGGCTTAAAGAATGCAGAACTCATCTGGATTGTGGCATCAATTTAGCTGTAAAGGCTGCTCCAAAGATAATAGTATTATACACTATGACAAGAACTAGTTTTAATATTCAAAATTAATACACAGACCAAAATAACATAAAAAAATCATTTAAAAAGTCCAAGTGCCTAATTTTTGAATATTATAACTGAAAAACAGCCCTGGAGGGACAACTATGGCATGTGCTGCAGGTGGAAACGAAGATTGCTGTCTCAGCCATGATAGCAATAGCAGCTCGAGAATCTTTGTCATATGGGGAACTTTGCATTAGGTAAGTGGATCTTATACCAAGTGGAGGCTGAGGATGGTGGGGGCTGGTGATGCTGAGGGTGGTGGGGGGGAGGCTGAGGGTGGTGATGCTGAGGGTGATGTGGGGGTGGTGATGCTGAGGGTGGTGTGGCTGAGGGTGGTGTGGGAGTTGATGATGCTGAGGGTGGTGTGGGGGTAATGAGGCTGAGGGCGTGGGGGGGGGGTAGTGAGGCTGAGGGTGGTGTGGGGTGAGGCTGGGGGTGGTGAGGCTGAGAGTGGTGTGGGGGGTAGTGAGGCTGGGGTGGTGTGAGGGGTAGTGAGGGTGTGGGGGGTAGTGAGGCTGAGGGTGGTGTGGTTGGTAGTGAGGCTGGGGATGGTGAGGCTGGGGGTGGTGTGAGGGATAGTGAGGCTGAGGGTGGTGATGCTGACACTGTCCCTCCTCTCACTAGGAATGCAACTTCACAATGAATGTAAAATGGATGCTGTCCAGGAGGTGGGAGGGTCTGGGAGGGAGGATCTGCTGCTGATTGGCTGGAATGTGTCTGCTGACTGTGAGGTACAGGGTCAAAGTTTACTCAATGATGACGAATGGGGGCGGATCGAACAGCGCATATGTTCGCCATCTGTGGCGAACGCGAACAAGCGATGTTCGCCAGGAACTATTCGCCAGCGAACCGTTCGGGACATCACTGTTGATGGATGCAAGTCTCTTTTCAGCTATGTAACTATGTAACTATGTAACTTAAAATGAAGAAAATTAATTTTAAACCACATAAGCAAACTGTAGATCAGAAAAATCAAATGAAAATATGGCATCAAATAAGAAAGTTTTAAAACTCTATTAGAATTCTATAAGGCACTTAAGGATTGCATTAACCATGAAAGGGCAGTGAGTATCTTTCCACTCCAGGCTTAAAGAATGCAGAACTCATCTGGATTGTGGCATCAATTTAGCTGTAAAGGCTGCTCCAAAGATAATAGTATTATACACTATGACAAGAACTAGTTTTAATATTCAAAATTAATACACAGACCAAAATAACATTAAAAAAACATATAAAAAGTCCAAGTGCCTAATTTTTGAATATTATAACTGAAAAACAGCCCTGGAGGGACAACTATGGCATGTGCTGCAGGTGGAAA